AGTTATTATCCAGTAGGAAATCTGAATAGGCTTTTGGAAAATACGGGGTCAAAATCTCTGTACTTAGCTCACTGTAATGTGAGAAGCTTACCTAGAAATTTAACCTTATTAAATGGCATGCTTTATGCTCAATCAAGAAAACCAGATATATTGGCTGTAACAGAAACAAAGCTAAATGCAAATTCAATTTGTGATATTGATCTACCGGACTATAAATTCTATTGTGAGGATTCACAGACTGCAGCTGGTGGTGTAGCCTTTATCTTTAATCTGATACTCCTAAATCAGTTTACACTATACTAGGAGATATTTATATATGTATATACATTAACAAAATAACTATGAACTATATATATGAAAAACTGTAAAAGGTAAACATGTACAATAAAAGTGACCTGCCAAAATTATACTGATGCCCTTAATGCAGCACTTTTAAAAGCGTTGATATTCGCAGGCAGTTTGATAAAAGGGAGATTGTTCCAGGTTACAATGGTTCTTGGGAAAAATGAAAATTTAAAAATATCATTGTTACACGAAACTTGCTGAAAGGGATGATGATTTGGAAGTCGTGTTTTTCTTTTTATAGGACACACTTCAGCGGGGAAGTTTAAATCAACGTAGCCTTGGTGAATCTTATAGAACATACACGACTGGTTAAGCAGTCTAAGCCGTTCAAGTGTGTCCCATCCTAAATTGTTGATCATTGGGGAAACATGGCTGTATCTGGAAAAGTCGTTATTAACAAATCTTGCGGCGCGATGTTGAATCATTTCAATCTTCTCAGAATTCCATTTAGTATGAGGGTTCCAGATGCAACTAGCATATTCAAGCTTAGGGCGGACTAGACTGAGATAGTCTCTAGCTTTAACTGTAGGAGAGAAGCTTCCTAAGATGCGTTTAAGTAGGTCAAGGGTGGAATTAGCTTTTTTACAAATATTGTCACAGTGTTTATTCCAGTGCAAGGTGCTAGTAATGGTGACCCCTAACTTTCTCTACTGATAATTTGACCATTCAAACAGTAATTGTACATGTGGGGGGTTTTCTTAGAGGTTATTCCTAGATGGTAACATTTGGATACATTGAATTTAAGCTGCCAGCAATCAGCCCAAGATGATAGACAGTCTAGATCGTTTTGTAGAATTTGATAATCCTGGCGGTTGTCAATTACTCTATATAGAACACAATCATCAGCAAAGAGATGTACACTTGATTGAATATTGTTGGAAATATCATTTATGTATAGCAGAAATAACACTGGACCTAGAATGGATCCCTGAGGTACTCCAGAGATAAAGGTTTGGAGGAGGAGTGGGTTCCGTTAATTGAGACAATCTGAGAACGATTTGTAATGAATGCTTTTATCCACGTACGTGTATTCCTTCTGATTCCATATTAGTCGAACTTAGTCAAGAGACGCTCGTGCGGTACAGAGTCAAATGCTTTCTTAAACTGTAAGAGAATCACATCAGTTTGATTCCTCAAGTTGATAGATTTTCCCCAGTCATGAATCGTCGAGATTAATTGGGTTATGCATGAGCGATTTTTCCTAAAACCAGAAAGATGTTTTGCCATGTGGCTGAGCACAATGTGTTCCATAATTTTACAACAAATACACGTTAACGAGTGATACAGACTGAGCAATTTCCTTCAGAACTCTGGCTGGGATCTCATCTGGACCATATGCCTTTTGGGAGTTTAAGTCGGATAGCTGCTTAGCGACACCATCTGGACTAATCTGGAGGTCAGTGATGGGCTCATATGGTGACTGGCCCATACTAGGAGATGGTAACTGTTCACAAGTAAAAACTGAGAAGAAATATGAATTTAGGGTTTCCGCTTTATCCTTATCTGAGATGCTGACAGTGCTGTTAGATTTCATGGGTAGGATTCCTATAGATTCAGATTTACTATTCTTGACATAAGACCAGAACTTTTTTGGATTCTTGGTCAAGCTGCTACCAATGATGTTACTAAGGTAGTTCTCGTGTGATTCTTTAATAAGCTTAGACACATGATTTCTGATATTTAAAGCTATTCCAATGTTGAGATTTCTTGGTTTGGATAGCCTTTTTATGGATCCGATCTTTCCTACGCATTTCTTGTTTGATGTTAAGAGTTATCCATGGAAGATGAAATCTTGGTCGCGACGACTTCTGGGGGATGAATTGATTTATTTCATCAGACAAAGCATGTTTAAAAGTGATCCAGTTTTCTTCAACCGACTCATTTTCGGGGTTAGATGAGAAGAACAATGACGACAAATTCATCATGTGATCATTGAGACCATTAAAGTCTGCCTTTTTGTAGTTATAGATTTTATGAGGAGGTTTAACTACTCGTGATGGTTTCAAATTTACTTCGAATACAACAGCAAGATGGTCGCTGATGCCCAAGACAGTTGTAGTGTTAAGGACAGAGTTTGGATATGTAGATAATAATAAATCCAGAATTTTGACAGAGGCAGGTCTAGTAGTAGATTTGACGTGTTGAGATAACGAGAAATCATCAATCAGGTGTAGGAATTTATTATGCTGTGAGGCAGAATTTGAGATACGAGGAGCCGGTTCATCTGATGCCCAATCAATGTCACCAAGATTAAAATCTCCTCCAATAATTACGTTGGGATGGGTGAGACTTTTGTCAAATACTCGACTGATAGAATCGTGGAATTTGTCCAGTACCTCTGTGATTGAGTTGGGAGGTCTATAGAACGCTGACAGATACAATGTTTTGCAATTGCTTAACTTAAGGGATGTCAAGATTATTTCACAGTCATTGATAAAATCAGGTTCTTCAGTGCAGACGAGATCAGATCTAACAAAAAAAACATAAACACATCAATTAAAGAATTTGAATTACTGCTTACTCTTGTCGAATCAGCAATTAATTGAGTAAGTTGGTAATTGATCATTATGTTTACGATATGTTTAGTATGATTCTCTGGAGGGTTTGATCGAAAATTGCAATTCAAATCACCCAGAATATATATTTCTTTAAACTTTCCGTCAACTTTCTTTAAGAAAAGTTCAAATTTTTCAAATAACTCTAAAGAACTTTTGGGAGGTCGATACCATGTAGTTATAAGAAATGGTTTTGAATTTGGTTTAGAAATCTCTAGAACAATCATTTCTAAATTACTATCTTCTACATCAGTACGCCTATTATAGTTTATAGAGTTACGCAAGTATACACAAAAACCTCCGCCATGCTTATCTCTGTCTCGTCGTTCGAAATTATAACCTGATAACGCAACCGAATTATTAGTATCTGTCTGATCAAGCTTTGATTCATTTATAGCTAGGATATCAAGTGGCTTGCTATGCATTAAAACTACAAGCTCATCAATATGTTTACTGAGGCTGTTAATGTTTAGCAAAGCCATCTTAAATCCTTTATTGAGAGACATTACATCATCAAATGATTTTTGGCTCTGAGCCGGCTGAGAAGGTTGATTATTGCTATTTCTACTATCTGCACCATTTAAATTTCACTCTAAATTAATATGTTTTCTAAAGTTTGCGGCAAGATTAATTGTTCCTTTTAGAATTAAATGAGTACCCCGACGTTAAGGCAATCATGTTTAATATTGTTGTTGCATATAAACCCAAAGTTATTATCTTTGTTGATGAAATCGCAATTTCTACCGAGGAATGCTGTTTTTTTAAATCATTTGCCAGATCAATGATTTTCTTACCTATTTTCTTGGGATTGTCTCGCTTTAAGTTATTTGTACCTACATGAAGTATTATTTTCTTCGGCCTTTTCCTGATGATAGGCTTCACAAAATCCACCATGTCCTCAACAGTTGCCCCAGGAAATGACATGTTCTTAACTTTGTGTTTCCGAGATAAGCGATGACCATGAATGTACTTCGTTATAGAATCCCCAATAATAACAACGTCACACCCATTTTGATCACGATGTGAATCATTTTTAGCATTACCGCGTTCTTAATTTACTGCCATCACTCGTAACATTCGAAGTGGGAAGCTTTGAATTTTCGATGTTTCCATGTTGTGGTTCTCCTATGTTCATATGTTGACATTGCCCTTTTTACCTTTACTTGCTTTGCCTTTGCCTTTTCCCTTGATGATATCGCTTCGGCCATATTTTCCGTTTTTATAGTCGCCACTATGCGAGATAGTTGGTATTGAAGTCTTTTCCTTCGCTAGTAATTTTAGGGTTGTTAACAGACTGTCCCTTTCCTCTGTAACGGATAACAGCTTTGCCTGTAGATCGTCGTATGTTAATACACCGGTATATTTAGACTTCGGTTTTAGCTTTTGTTCAAGTTCTTCTAACCGAGTCGCGAGCGAATTTATGTAAACCGAATTTTTTTTACAACCAGAACAGAACTGTAGTTTCTCAAATTCGCTCGGAACACTGTCGTTGAGATAAGTGTCTTCGTATGCATCTATATTTGACTCCAAATCTTTGTCTTGGGTCTGTTTACCAGCAGCATCACATGCTTCGCTTTCGGCTTCGTCTTCGAAGTTGCCATAATTTACATGGTTGGCTAGCGCAGTTGTTTCGGCACTAGAATCTTCAGATAAAGTAGCATAGCTTAGAATATTTTTCTTCACTACATCCTTCATTGCACCTTGTACGTTTACTGTCTTCGTAGTCGGGTAGAATGAAATCGTGACCGTATCACATTTGTTGACATGAAAGCCGCCGTTATTCTTTGTAAACGACCACTCGCCTGATAACTTAAGTTGGCATTCAAAGAACAATTTTAGTTCAGGCAGAACACTGAGCCATTTAATTTTAATCACCACTACGTCCCTTCTCAATTGAGAGGGGAATTTGTGATGTGGAAAGCTTTGAAGAAGAAGCTAGAAGGTCATCGTTTACAGAGCACTCAACAGCCCGACCGTCCGCCATCTTACATAGATAGATAGCAGATAGATAGATAGATACCATCTTACATAGCAGATAGATTGATTGAAATTTTTATTTAACCACGGTGGTTTTATCAATTGTAGATATGACATATTTACATTTGTTCTTCCTAAAAGCCGTGTATCTTAATATTTCAATATAAAACCATATACAGAAAACATATTCTAGTTGGCACAGAATATAGTCGAGTCTAACATTTTTACAAATATTTTAAGTGATGGTGCGTCTTTTATCTCATCCGGAAGAGAATTCCATAATTTAGCACCAGTGAAGGCAAAACTTGAATTGTAATACAGTGTTCGATTTTTTGGAAGTTCGAAGGTTATTTTAGACCTTCTGAGATTATATATATCCAAAGCATGACAATGTTTAAATATGTCTATTAAATAAGATGGTGCATTACCATTTACTATTCTATACATCATCATAGCCTTTTGTTGATACCTCATTTCCTGAATATTCATCCAGCCAAGTCTTTTTAAGAGTTTTGAGGATGATGTTGAGAAATGTGCCCCAGTTATCACACGGGCAGCCCTATTTTGTAAAATTTGTAGAGACTTGTCTAATGTTTGACCAAGGCTGTCCCAAACTATGGAGCAATAAATGAAATATGGTTCAATTATTGCCCGATAGAGTGATATTAGTTTTTTTTGTGTTAAAATGGGCTTTAATCGCCTCACAGTAGCAATATTACGGGATACTTTTAAGCGAATACTCTCCACATGGTTTTCCCAAGTTAAGTTTTCGTCTATGTTTACTCCTAAGGATTTCACCGAACGAACTTGGCTTAATAAAACACCGTTTACTGACAATGTTATTGAGTCTCCCAAGGCCGCTAGCTTTTGTCGAGAAGCAATAACCATGAAATCGGTTTTTAAAATATTCAGTGTCAACTTGTTTGCACAAAGCCACTTGAATATTTTATTAAGCTCAATCTGCATTTTATTTTCTACCGATTCCAAATTGCGACCTGTGGAAGTCATATTTGTATCGTCAGCAAATAGCCTGGCAATTCCATGTTCCAAACAACTGGGTAGGTCATTTATATATAGCAAAAATAAGACCGGACCCAAAATGGAACCTTGTGGAACCCCACAGGAAATGGTTTCTTCATTTGAATATATGCCATTTACATGGCAAACTTGTACCCTATTTGTCAAGTAGGATTCAACCCATTCCAAACTACACTCTTTCAAACCATAACATGCAAGTTTCATTTGCAAAATTTCATGATCAATGGTGTCAAAAGCCTTCTTTAGATCAAGAAAAATCACACCGTTTAACATCCCTTTATCAATATTAAAACACCATTGATTTGTCATATCCAGTAAGGCTGTCATGGTAGAGTGAAGTGAACGGAATCCAGATTGACGGGTATTGATTAGTCTATGTTTAGATAAATAAGCATACATTTGGTTATACACAAGGCGCTCAAAGAGACGTGCAATTGAAGATAACACCGAAATAGGCCTATAATTATTTGCATTATACCTTTCCTCTGTTTTATGTAATGGAAAGACTTTTGCAATTTTCCACCTTGTCGGAAATTTATTTGTTGTAAGAGAAAGATTGAACAAATTTATTAAAGCTTCATAAATATAAGGACCAGATATTTTTAATAATCTATTTGATATTTTATCACAGCCCGAAGCTTTACGCAAATTTAATTTGTTTATTAATTTGAAGACGTCTTTAGAATCTATCTTTTGAAATTCAAATGACGATTCAACCTGGGTCATGTAATCCTTAGCTGTTGCTACCTTGCCTAAAAGGGGAACATTGGAGGCCAATTTCGGACCAATTCCAACGAAATCTTTATTAAGCGAATTTGCAATGTCAAATGAGACTGGGTTAAGATTTCTCCTGAGTCAGATGACAGCGTGTTTATTTCGATGTTATCCGATTTCTTTCCCAACGCATTATTTAAAATTTTCCATGTTTCTTTAACATTATTTACATTTCTGTTGAGTTCGTCTTGAAAATATGCCTTTTTCGCTTTTCTGATCTTATTATTTACAAAATTTCTTTGCTGCTTATAAGCAGACAAAGATTCAGAATTATTGGATGAAATAGCCTTTTTCTTCAGTTTATCTCTATTTATCATTAAATATTTGAGTTCTGAATTAAGCCAAGGACTAGGTTTATTACGAACTCTGAAACTACGTACAGGCGCGTGTTTTTCAATCACTTCACTAAAAACAGATCTAGATGTCCATGTATCGCATGCATCATTGACATCATCAAACTCATTAATTATAGGCCAATGAGTAGATTTTAGGTCCTTTTTGAACTTAGATTCACTAAAGTTTTTAAAGTTTCGACATTCAATATATCGTGGTTTACCATTACGTATGCCGATTTTCCGTACTGCGTAAATTAAATAATGGTCACTTATTGACAGAGGGTAAACTCCCGAATTGATAATAGAATCAGATTTGTTAGTAATTATTAAATCAATCAAAGTTTGCGAAGTGCTATTTACTCTGGTTGGGTCAACAATAATTTGATTCAGTTGGTAGTTAACTAATAAATTATTAAGGTGTTGTGTATGACACTCAGGGGGATTTAATAGATAATTACAATTCAGGTCACCTAAAATGTAAATTTCTTTGTATTTACTATCAATTGTTTTGTAAAGATTCTCAGGCCTGTTTTATACGTCGAATTTCGGTCGCGTCGAATGCAATTCAAACAATAGATAATGAGATGATAAACCTCATTAAGCTTCATTATCTATTGTCTTAATTGCATTCGACGCGACCAAAATTCGACGTATAAAACAGGCCTCAAATTGCTCAAAACATTGTAAAGGACTTTTCGGTGGTCTGTACCACGCTATAATAAGAAAAGGTTGAGAATAAGGCTTTATAACCTCAATTACAATAATTTCCAAATTTTGATCTTCTAACTCAAAGCGCCTTTTGTAGTTTATTGAGTTACGAATATAAACGCAGACCCCTCCACCATGTTTATTACGATCTCTTCGTTCTACCATATAGCCAGTTAATGCAATAAGATCGTTAGCATCATCCTGGTCTAATTTGGATTCATTAATTGCAAACACATCAATGGGTTTGTGCATCATTAATACTTTCAACTCGTCAATGTGTTTGTTTAGACTGTTTATATTTAGCGATGCCATTTTGAAGCCTCTACAACTAGACATAATTTCGTCAAACGACTGATTGTACGATTGTGAGGATTCATCATGGCTCTTTTCAGTATCTGTACCATGCATTTAGTATGTTCTCCTTTAAATTGTCATTACAAATAAAATCAAACTTATAATTAGAACATTGATGTTTTAAGCTATCATTCACTTGATTGATCTTGGAGTTTAGCGATATGTTATCAGATCTATGAATTATAGATGAAATGGCTATATCTACTGTAGGCTGCTCCTTCTTAATATTATATGCCAAATCAACAATCTTTCTGCTTAACTGTTCTGGTTTATCATGTCGGACGTTGTTGGTGCCAACATGAATAATAATTTTTTTGGGCTTTTTTCCAATGACAGGTTTAACAAAATCACTCATGTCAGCCACCGTGGCACCAGGACAGGTTATAGTGGTTACCTTATGCTTTTTTGACAGCCTCCTTCCTTGTACATATTTGATCATGGAGTCTCCCACAACAAAAACATCACCTCCTGTTCTGTCTGTACCAGATGTACGTACTGAGTGAGCTTTAATTCCTTTCTCGACTTCGCGATCGCTTCTTACGCCGTTGTTGTCTTCTGATGTGTTCGTATGTGTTGGTGATTGAGATTTAGTACTCAAATTCCTTTCACGAGATGCAATTTTAGTTTTGCCGTTTAACGCTTCGCCTTCGGTAGATGATCCACCATTTTGTTTCGGTTTACTAGCTTCATTAAAATTAGTATGATTTTCTTCAGATGACTTGAAGTCTTTCATCAACAACCTTAAAGTTGTCAATAGACTGTCTCACTCCTCCTTCATAATTTTGTAGCTGGAGAGTAGATTATCGTAAGAGATTTCTTGAGATCTTGAGTTTACTTAATGTCTAACCTGTGAAGGAACGATTCAATAACCAATTTATTTTGTCGACAATCATGACAAGTGTGGTTGAATTGCGAGGTTTTATCATAACCCAATTGAGAATCGGCATGTGCTGCCGCATCATCAATAGAACGCACTCGGTTTCGCCCACGCTATCATCTTCGTCTTCGACATTAATTTGTTGTTGATCTTGCACAGAAATATTACTTTCTGCTGAATATTGACTCAGTAAATATAAGTCCGATAGATTCTTTTTGACAACATCTTTCATCACACCTTGCACGTTAACTGTTTTTGTGGTCGGATAAAAGGAGAGCTTCACATTTTAAAACGTAAATGCCGCCATTGCTATTTACAAATGACGTACCACTCACCAGCCAATTTTAATTCGGCTGTAATGAATGATTTGAACTCTTCCCAACTTCCTAACCACTTTAATTTTTGACCAGAACGTGTCTTCTCAATAGTAATGGGATATTTAACGCTTATTGATCGAATGCCAGTTTTTACAATATCCTCACAAACAGAGCTTGAAAATAGACGACTGTCCGCCATGTTGTCACTTAGATAGATAGATAGATAGATAGATAGATAGATAGATAGATAGATAGATAGATAGATAGATAGATAGATAGATAGATAGATAGATAGATAGATAGATAGATAGACAGATAGATAGATAGATAGATAGATAGATAGATAGATAGATAGATAGATAGATAGATAGATAGATAGATAGATAGATAGATAGATAGATAGATAGTTTGATAGAATGTCACATTGCAGCCTATCATAATATATATTGCTGAATTGCTTAAAATTTACAAATTACATACATACAAAATATAGTTACTATATGTCCGATATATAAATCCCAGAGTCACTTATATAATGTTTCTTTAAAAATTATTATAAGTTTATTCTTCTTTGATATAGAAATGATAAAAGCGTTCCCAAAAAGATTAGTTCGGGTATAGTTGGACAATCAAAGGGACGCTGTTTCATGAATCATGAAGCTCTTCAAATCTTAACAACAAGGACAAGGTAAATAAAGAGCAAAACCATTAAAAAGATTAAAGTATAGTTACACCAAATTAAAAAATTTCTGGATCTCTTGAGCGTGTTTATCTGTCGACGAGATGGTGATATTTGTTCAGTATTACAATCCTCCAAGATATCGTCATATAGGTTAATTCCCTCAGCAAATACCAAACGTCCCCTTATAAAGCTTCGAATCGAATATAACAAATATCGCCACCGACCTGAATTGTCACAGAAATGTTTCTTACGAGCAGCTATCCGGCTATAGTTAAACTTGTCACCATTTTGAATGCAGTATTCAAGTACTTTCTCCAGTTGTGTTCTTGCTTCAGTTGGGTTTGCCTCTGATTTAAGTGTTGCAGACTGGGCGAGTACCAAACAGTATTCTGGGCACGAGGAAGCTTCATCTCCTAATACGTGTTCATAAATGTTCAGACATTTGTTCGTAACATTTGCCACCAAATTTATATAGTTCCGGTATTTCCAAGGCTTAAAAGTGGATGCAATAATGCCAAACACGTATACACGCGATAGATAGTCCAAACAACGTGCTCTGCTTACACTCTCACTATCTGGCGCACAACTTGACAAAAATTCTGCTGCTTCTTCGACAACTGCTCCTAGTTTCCAAAATTTCATCGAAAAGTAGTAAAGTAAGCAAGCCAATAAAATCTGTTCATAACTTTATCTTCTTCCTTGATATACACATTTTTGGCCAAGTCAATCGACCTCTTCATCATTTCTACAGCAAGGCTCAAACTGTCCATGTTGTAATACGTCCGGGCTAAGTTGTACAAGATACGACATCTTAACAACAACCATTTTTTCTCACTTTTACCCTCCGTCATGAAATAAGCTTTACATAAAAAATTCAAAGCAACTTCATCACGGTCAAGTTCTAGATAATAGAAGCCAAGGTTGGCCAATATATCACAACAACTCTCGTCGGATAAGTTAAGTTCTAAAAAAAAATTATAATACAGCAATTCCAGACTCTTGACAGCGCTTTCATCGGGCATGTTCGACGTTGAAAAAAGAAACTGATCGTCTTTCATAGAAATCAAGACAAATTCAGCCGTATCATTCCAGGACATATCATTGGCATGATCGACAAATGACTTCAGGTGAAATCTCACAAGGACTTTAAGAAGTACGTTTTCTTTATACGTATTGTCCATGAAATCTAGTGTGTCGTTCAAAGATTTCATCATTTTGACAAATTCAAGTTCCCGCTGCTCAACAGGTTTTGTGTTTTCTGCACTTTGAAAGGCATTGTGAATTACCTGATGATATTTTATTGTTTCAACGTTCTGTGACTGTCCGTGAACGAGTAGTGTACACCTTGAAATCTCTTTTTTAATTTCTTCCTTTGTTGTAGGCCGTTTATCACTCTGGTCTGGTAGATTTTCCTTGACGTGGGGTGCTAGTACATTCAAAGGAACTGGAAGCAATACACAATATGAAAGAAACGAAAATGTTAGTCGTAGAACATCATTTGTTTCTGCCATTCGCTTTACAGCCATTGTACTAGCAGCCGTCATGGATAAAGGATAAACATTGTTTTTGGAAAATGTTCGGGATTCAAGTTTGGCATTTTGACGATAAAGGTCTAGATATTCTTTCCATCCGAACTGTATTGAAGGACGATCTTGTCTTGTTTCTCCAACATATATTGCACAACACGCCAAAGCAAGAGGAAAACGCTGCAACTCTTTAATAATTTCTTCAGCAAAATCATCAACTTCAACATCACTGATCTCCTTCAGCAATGCAAGAGCATCTTCTTTAGTCATTCCCTTGTTCAAGGACAATTTCTTTGCAAACAGATGGCAAGCAGGTACGAGATTATTATCTTGTGTTGTGACCAGGACCTGACCACCACCCCATTCCTTGCCACCAGGTCGTGGAAATAACTTATTGAAGTCATTCTTTTCGAACATGTCATCAATAATAAGAAGCCAAGCACCACTGTAATTACGGAAATAATCTCTCAGGTTTTTCATCAGTTCTTCAAGACTTTTTATTGGAAGCTCCATACGCACTGGCAGTGGTAATTTTCGCGTAGCTTCTTTCACTGATTCCAAAAGAGATTCTTCTGAGTTGGCATTCAATGTAATCACCAAAGGTTTGGATGTATCATCGGAAGATGTCGCCTTTATAAACTGTTCACCATATTGTCGAGCTAACTCTGTTTTCCCAGATCCAGGTTGACCTGTCAGATAAACAGTTCTAACAACATCTTCATCATCAGTCATGGCAGAAAACAATGATTCATTTTTGTTTAATTCTGTTCTTCTTGTACGAGAAACATGATATGGTTTGTGAGGATAAACATTTCCCATCTAGTGAAAAGTAAAAAAAAATTAAGTAAGGAAGAGATACCACAGAAATGAAAGATTTCGTACACGAAAAGAGTATGGAGTGGAAATTTTGTCGCACATCACAATCGATGTGCAGAGTCGCTGATACTCTTGTATCAGTTGGAGACCAAGTTCTCCATTGGCCATCCAAACCGCATTATTCAAGGCGGCAAATTGACTCAATCGACGCCCAACTACTGTATGTAGTCGCATTTTTAATCAGGAAGCCTACGTCACGATGTGTTTTTCAGTAGCGCCTTGCCCGGTGCAGCGCTCTGCTTCATGTAGCTCTGGACTCTGTAGCTCAGTTGGTTAAAGTGCTGCAGGGGAATCGCAGGGCCGTAGGTTAGATTCCTATCAGAGGGCCTATAGGTACATTTTAATTTCGCAACTGCTCCCGGTTATCCTAATCAGGGCGGTGTAAAACACATGGTGTTTTGCAGGATGTTTTACACTCGAAATTTCCATCTACAAAACCCATAAAAATTAGTTCTAATGAGTAAGATGCTCAAAATTATGATATTTAGCTAAACATAAACTAAGTATAGCACTAAATAAGAGCTAGCTCACACCACCTCACCCTAACCACACCTGACGCTACCTCACATCAATTCACACCATCTCAATCCAGATAACGTACGTCACAACACTGCTACCTCATGCATCTCAAAAATGCGGATCGATCAGGCTTTACTGTACATGTATAATGCTAATCTCGTGTATAGCTATAGTACAATGTACCACAATTAACCAAATAAGAGTGAATCAGCTGGAAATGATTTTGAACAAGAGTTCAATATTATATTGAAGATTTTCTGGTATGGCAGTGATCCTTTTAATACAATTAGAACTAAAAGTTTACCCAATGACTGACTAACACATAACGAACTTCAATGTATTGTTTAATATTAACATGTAATGTGTAATACAACGTTTTTACCTTTTCAGGTTCCTGGCCATCTTTTGCAGGAACATTTTCTAAAAATAATTAATATTAAAGAAGTTAAATTTGAAAATAGAACAATGCATCAGGCACGGAAATATCATAAATATTCAATAGACAGTGAAGTGTTAAAAAATGTACAGCACATGTACCGTGCCTCACAAGGGACACCACATAAAAATAGAACAACACAAACAAATACAAATATAAAGCCAATTACAGATAATAGGAACTATCACAAATAAAAATATTACGCTGTACGTGCAAATTAAAAAAGAGGAATATGTAAAGAAAATATGGGACACACACACATAGAAGAAATTAATGAGAAAGTTCAGAGTTTGTCATCTAAGCATGATGTGACATTTATAAGTAATATGTCAATAGATGAGACATGTTTGAACTCTAGTGGCCTGCATCTAAATGCAAAGGGGACTGCCATACTAGCTACACATTTTATTAAGTTCCTTAGGGATGGGCAATCCTTAAGTTCACTGCGCCCACAAAAACATTCCCGTCAGGATTTTCCAAAGAACACAATAAACCATCTGGCAGAACTACTAAATGCGATAATGAACGTGAACAAGTAAATTGTCAAGATGTGCCAAGCAATTCTTTATTAGGCATAGATAGTGAAATTAACATAATCGCCAAAAGTAAAGGTTTGAAGATAGCCAACTTAAATGTAAATAGCTTAATGAAACATCTGGATGAAATTCGCTTAATCCTTAACAATAACGCCCTTGACATTCTTGCAATTAATGAGTCCAAAATTGATAATCAGATTTCAAATAATGAGATACATATTGATGGTTTTAATATAATTCGTAAAGATCGAAATAGGTTTGGTGGTGGTGTGGTTCTATATGTTCGCCAAAACATATCATTCTCAGATAGAATAGATCTAATCCCTGATGAACTTGAGATGGTCTGCATTGAATTAAGTTTACCCTACAATAAATCACTGCTAATAAGCACGTGGTATAGACCACCAAATTCTCTTATGAATATATTTGATTACTGGGCAAGCTTTTTAGCAAAATGTGATAATGAAGATAAGGAGCTAATCCTCATAGGAGATCTAAATTGTGATGTCAGTAAAACTATACCTGACCCTCACACATGTAAGTTGCAATTTTTATGTTCTCTGTATCAGATAGACCAACTTATTAAAGAATCTACAAGGCTAACTCCTAAATCAGCTACACTAATTGATTTAATATTAACAAATAGACCAGAAAATATTTCCAGATCAGGTGTCATTCACCTGGGAATTTCAGATCACAGCCTTGTCTACGCTGTGAGAAAATTTACACTACCGAATGGAAGGCAAAAAATTCGTCAGGTTCGTAACTTTAAAAACTTTGTCGAAAATGATTTCATTCGGGATGTGTCTCAATTGCCTTGGGAGATGGTCTATCAGTTTGGAGATCCCAATTTATGTTGGCAAGTCTGGAAATCACTATTATTAGATGCACTTAATAGACATGCCCCTCTGCGCCACAAGCGAATAAGGAATAACCCTGTCCCATGGATTAATCCTCAAATTAAAGAACTTATGAGAAAAAGGGACTATCACAAAAAAAAGGCCATAAAATATGATTCGGAGTCACAGTGGGAATTGTATAAAACACTACGTAATGAAGTAAATATAAACATGCGGAAAGCAAAATCTAAGTACTTTTGTGATAAAATCCAGGCAAGCTCTCAAATGGGAGACAGTAAAAGCGGATGGGCTTGGATAAATTCGCTCTTAGGAAGAAAGCATAAGAATGCAAATATTAATGAACTGAAAGTAAATGATGATATTATTTCTGATGATAAATCTATTACTGAAACATTAAATGAATATTTTATAAATATTGGAATGAAGATGGCTGCTGAATCAGCATGTCAAAGCACTGATGCTTTAAATGATCAAGTAATTTATGAAAGTACTGTGCTTCTTCCTAAAGAAAATTTTCACTTCGCAGATATTACTATAGATAGTGTTTCCAAACGCCTACAAAAACTAAATGTCTCAAAAGCGACAGGTATGGATGGAATACCTGCGAATATTTTAAAACTGACATCAACCCTTATTGCTCCATCTATAACTTTTATATTTAACCTATCGATTAGAACTGGTATTTATATAGATGAGTGGAAATTGGCTAGAGTTATACCAATTTACAAATCTGAGGATAAGCGTAAATGCGAAAATTATAGACCAATTTCAATTCTTCCCATAATAAGTAAAATATTTGAAGGGGAAGTTTTTACTCAAATATATAGCTTTTTGAATAAACATGCGCTTCTGTCTAAATTTCAGTCCGGGTTTAGACCAAAACATGGAACCTTAGGTGCTCTTATACAAATGTGTGATCAATGGCTACAAGACATGGATGAAGGCAAAATAAATGGAGTTGTTTTTCTTGATATATGTAAAGCATTTGACTCGGTGAATCACGAGATATTATTGGAGAAGCTTAAAACCCGGTTTGGAATTCACGACATTGAGTTAAAATGGTTCCAATCATACTTAAGGAATAGAAAGCAAGTGTGTTCTGTTAATGATCAAACTTCTTCTGCAAGAACAATAATATGCGGAATTCCGCAAGGATCCATACTTGGTCCATTATTGTTTTTGCTATATATTAATGATATGCCTGATATTTTAGAAAGGACAACCCCATGTCTTTATGCCGACGACACTCAGATATCTTCCTCTTCGCATGATTACGATACATTGATTGACAATTTGAATATGGACCTTTCCAGTATTCATAAATGGCTTGCTAAAAACAAACTAAAATATCATAGGAAAAAAACAAAAGTCATGTTTATTGGATCTACGCATAATCTAAATCATAAAATAGGAAATAGACCCGTTGAGATTAACAAAATCCCAGTCCCACAAACCAATACATTTAAATGTCTAGGTGTAAATCTAGATGAAAAATTAAGTTGGGAGAAACATATTGATTCTGTATGCCATAAGATTAGCGCTGGAATAGGAGCAATTAAAAGAATAAAACCTTATGTTCCACACAAAACCTTACATGATGTCTACAAAACATTAATTCAGCCTCATTTTGATTACTGTTCTCCCCTGTGGGATAACTGTGGTTTGGGACTTCAAGACAAATTGCAAAAATTCCAAAATCGAGCAGCAAGGGTGATTACCGGAGCTGACTACGATGTAAGATCGTCTGAAGTCCTAAACAAATTAGGCTGGGAAACCCTGGCTAGGAGACGAGAACAAAACAAGCTAGTATTGATGTATAAAGTCTTGGGGAACCACACTGCGCCAAACCTTAAAGATCTTTTTTCTCGGAGAAATGCATCGCAGAATATTTATGATTTACGCAATAGCGAAACTGATCTCTCGTTAAAAAAACCGAAAACGGAATTTCTAAAGAAAACATTTGGATACAGTGGAGCAATTCTATGGAATAGTCTCCCGCAAGATGTCAAGGCGGCTGAGTCAATTACGTCATTTAAAACAATGGCGAAATTGCATTTAAGCAGATGATAAGCTAATTTCTCCAGGACCAAATGATGGGAGGACAATATAGATTGTGGGCGGGAAAGGGGTTAGTTTTGCGTGAGGGTGGGTGGGTACTTGTTTAGGGGGTGGAGGTTTGGGAGGAAGATGATAAAATTTTAGGGTGGGATTCTTGCATACTTTGTTTTATATATAATTAACATTTAGCTCTTTGTGTGTATACGCCCTTCGTGGAAACCAGTTGTAAATAATTGTCGAAGTTAGCGTATTGAAATAAAGTTTTACATACATACATACATAACAAAATTGAAGATGAGCAAATACATAAAAGAAAGTGACACTGTGCGCGCGCACAATGTTACACGCGAGAACCACACAAAGACGGAAGCTCTGCATGAGTTCATGCCACTGAGCGAATATTGGTTCGTGCCAGGGAGCGATCAAACACCCCTGTGTGTTTAAAGCGCCCTGGCTCGGGCATGTGATGCCATGCGCGCGCACAGCTCACTTTCTTTGATGCACGTGTTCATTTAATTTGGTTTATGTGTGTATCTAATATTTTTCTTTGCATATCTATTTCTTTTTCAACTTGCACATTTTTACCTGTGATGGAGATATACATTTTACTTTTGTGCACTTTTTCTTATTTGTGTGACTTTCACTTATTAAGTTATTTTATATTTTTATTTGTGTTTGATCTTCGATTCTATTTTATGTGCTGTCCCTTGTGAGCCACCGTATACATGCATGGGGCCAAGTGTGCATTTCCAATAAACAAATGCCGCATGTAACGATGACAATTTTAAAAAAGACAAAAGTACCCATTTTCCTCAACAGTTTCCTATGCTGTTTATCTAATGTCGCGTGATAACATTTAATTAAGAGCGTCTTATTAGAATCAATATTTATATTTGGTGCAAACACAGTGCAGGTACCGCTGACCAGTGACCATGCATTTTGAGGGCTATATTAATCAATTATGACAAATATAGTAAGCTGCTCGTAGCAACTAGATAGGTTTCACTTAGTAGGTTGTTACAGCAGAGGTTAACAGCTGGTGCGCAGTTACTGCAACAGAGCTGATATTGTATATTAACTTACTGCTATTTTTTAGTACATGTTGTAGTCTTGCAATTGGTAATTATTAAATAATTTGAGAGACGTACTGCAGTTATTTACTAGATTATGATACTTCGAAAGGGAGCCTACTTGTCGAGGTCAGACCTGGAAATAGTGGTGGATCCTGGGAACGTCGTTCCACGCAGGAAAATATTTTGGTTTCCAAGAAACGATTTTCAATTTCGGTTGGCAATTTTTGGTATAAAATAGGTATTGGACAAGTACTAGTAAGTACTGTATGTAATATAAGTATTGTGTAGCCTATGAGAAGAACAATGAGAAGAGTAGGGTCAATTAAATTAAGTATTCTATACTCTAACTACTAGTGGTGAATATACTGCATGTAAAAACACTAGGGAAACTACAATTAAGAACTATAGAATTAGGTGAAGGATTCAAATAAAAATTCATTATTAACACAACATGAACTATTCTGTTCAAAGCAAAAAGGTCATGACCTGTTTACCAATTCATCATGAAGAGGATTCAAGATCATGAACTGCAGGTAAATATTTGATCAGCGAAGCATGACCTGTTTAAGAATTTGCATAAATATTCATGAAAACACCGCAAATATTCGCTGGGGACTAACTACATGCTGAAATGTCCCGCCACAACAAAATCTTTGGTAAAACAACTAAAATTAATGACCCTTTTTGTTATTGTTACCAGAGTTAAACAACAAAATTCAGTTACTTTTGTATTATTTTAACTTGTATTAAAAAAATGTATATCGCCTCACACTAAATTTCATACAAACAACGCGTTCTTGACAGGCGTCACGTGCCGCAATTTATCATATCCGGTATAAACCGGAAGTGTAAGTAGTAAATTAAAAAGATGGCAGTATTTTTCTATATTTCTCACATTATATTTGCCAATTTAAGTTGTTTCATTGTCCCTAATTATTATTCGTTTATCCTCTTTCATCCTATCTTCAATACCCTTCTTCCTTGCAGTTCTACCTACGGGACTCCTTACACCCGTTTTCAAAATTACGCGACCAAGGACGAAAATGCTAGAGTTGACATGTCAGTTTTATGTCATTTGGTCACGAAGTTTAAACTTCGAGTTTTGCGGTTCCTTGACGATGTATATGCTTTGTATGCTTTATATAAACATGCTTACAATGATTTTCAAGATATTTTAGTGAGAATTATTGCAAAATTTAAGCACAAACAAAATCATAACATATCGTTATAGTCTAGCGCGCGTGTTTTATACGGACAGCTAAATTCCAGGATAAATTGTTATTTTTCAAACTTTAAAAGTTATTCACGGCACATATTTCTGTTGTGATGGTTTGTATAGTGCTTTAGTTTGTATATCTAAGTTATCTAGCTTATTTTTGTTCAGTTTTGGTATTAAATACGATTTAAAATGTCTTTTGCCAGTTTGTTTACGTTTGCTATTTTTAGCAGTTTTTGTGACATAAAACTGACATTTGAAGTAAGAGTATTTTTCAGGGAGGTCGCGTAATTTTGAAAATGGGTGTAATCCCGCTGAAGAAGTCTCTCTCGCTCTTAAATCGACTTCTCCTTTTATGTTTCACAAATCTCTCACGTAATTTTAGTTTCTACAGTAATTGCAGTTTCTTGAGTTTTTCAATCAATACATGAATACTCACAGTGTTACTTGAGCGACATTGTTACTCAACCTCCAAAACTGAGATCCAGACTTTGATCCAGAGGGATAAAACGCACAAATTGTAAGAAACATGCAATAGACAATGAGATACATCCACAGGCATCGCCTTTAGATTGGCAGTCAGAATTTGGTTGCAGGCAAAAAAAATCTAAAAGCAACCCAGGTAAACTACAAGATGCCTGCAGAGGTCAGCTATTTGAACAACTCGTTATCGGGATGTGTTCGCAGTGCTTGTCCCCATCTTGTTGACAAGTTGTCAACGGCTTGCTGAACAACTTGCCACAAGATTGTTGATTCAACAGACTTCTTACAAGCTGTTTCAACAACTTCATGTTATCGTCCTGTAATTTAACAATTTGTCAATAAGTTGAGAAACTTGTTGACAAATTGTTAAATTACAGGACGATAACATGAAGTTGTTGAAACTGCTTGTAACAAGTCTGTTGAATCAACAATCTTGTGGCAAATGGGCCAACTAACAGCATTGTGACAATTACAATAAATAAGCTTTCGTTGGTAGGGATGACTAGCGGGGCCCGGGAAAATTACATGAGCTTTTATTAGTTTTATACTAAGAATATAAAAGCGATCACGCCACAAAAAATAAACCAATCAGCTGGATTTAGTAAAAAAAAGTATGAACAAAAAATGTAAATCACATTACAGAATATATTAATACAAATATACAGAAAAATACAGCAAATACAACAAAATATATGAAATAAGAAGTATGGAATAAGGTAAGAACTAAACGTACTGTCAAAGTCTGCTTTTGGCAGGTAAAGACAGAAAAACATTCATTAATGCCATAGGGGTGGACAGTGCCATATTTTGGAAATGAGGCGTATTTCATGTCTTTTGCGGCTATCGTTGCTAACAGAAATGGTACAGAGGGCTCGAATTCCCATACCTGAAACACTGTGATTGCTAGTATTAAAATGCATGGCAACAAGCTGGTTAGCATCAATGCATCATTGCCAATGACTGCACGCCGATGCTCACCAAACCTTGTCTTCAAAGGTCTTCCAATTTCCTCAATATAAAGCATGCCACATCTACTGCATGAGATGCAGTGCATGCCACATCTACTGCATAAGATGTTTCGGGGTCATTTTTCAAAATGTGGAAATTCTTGGTCCGATTGGCCAAGCTACCTTGGTAGGTACATAGATGACTGTCTTGGCACATCATCATGTTCTCGTGTCGAATTGGCAATTACAGCTTTTAATTTATGCGCGCAGGGGGTGACGGGAAGTAAGGTATCATATTGCTAATTATGCTGAAAAATTTCAATAGAAACTGCCGAAACAACCGAAATATTTCAATATTTACAAGTATAAGCTATCACTTCTTCGTAATTACACGGCCGCCGTTTTTATTTTTTAGCATAATCAGCAACATGATACCTTACTTCCCATCCTCCCCTGCACGGATAAACTAAAAGCTGGAATTGCCTATTGGAAAGTTTTATTAACTTTGTTAATAATTTCCATCCAGCACGTACTCCAGTTCACCTACTGTATCTCAGGATTCATCGTCGCAAAATGGCACGTTTCCTTGCCGGGTTGCCAAATGCAAAACCTGTGATTTCATAGATTCTGCCACCACCATTTCGCCACCTAAATCGCAATACCATGTCAAGCACCATTTCACGTGCAGCTCCTCCCATCTCATCTACTGCATTTCATGCAGTAGATGTGGCATGCGTTATATTGGAAGACATTGGAAGACCTTTGAAAACAAGATTTGTTGAGCATCAGCGTGCAGTCGTCGGGGATGATGGTAACCAGTCTGTTGCCAGGTATTTTAAGGTAATTCCGCAGTTTTGCATTGCGCACTTTTACTGCGCACATCTTATAACTTCATCCATTATACGTACCGTTTAAAAAATATAATTTTATGACAATTTTATGTTACTTCAAAACATCTTTGGTTACATTCGTGCAAATAATTACGTTAAAATTAATGTTTTCAAAAAAGGCATACAAAAGTGTAGCTAGGGTCCGTAGTATATTTATTTACTTGTAATTCCCTAAAAAGATCGGTGACCCCCGTTTTTTAACTGATAATTTATTTCTTTATTGCATTTTACATTTCATATCCGAAATTAAAAGAAAAATCATTTCTGGATCTTGAAAAAAAATCCTTTATCAATGCATGTTCTCAAAGAAAGATATGTAAAGAAATGTGGAAAAGATATTTGTGGATCAGAATTGTACACGTTAGTAATTTCATTTTGCTCAAAACACAATATTTTTTCAAAAATAATTACAAGATATGTTTACTAAATTAAAATCCGCGCTAAAAACGTCAATAAATATCGGGCTGTTGTGATTTTGCTGTTACTCGTAATGAGCGTCAAGATGGCGCCATATTGGGGTAAAGGTGGTATATTGTGATTGTCATATCTTTTTAACGAGTTCGGTGACCCCGACTTTTTTGTGTGATTTAACTTTAAGTATATCATAAACTCCATGCCTGGGAAGTTTCAGCACATTCTCATTTCGGGAACAATTACTGCGGAATTACCTTAATACTAGCAATCACAGTGTTTCAGATATGGAAATTCGAGCCCTCTGTCCCATTTCTGCTAGCAACGATAGTCGCAAAAGACACGAAATGCGCCACATTTCCAAATTTGGCACTGTCCACCCCTATGGCATTAATGACGTTTTTCCTCTATCTGCCTTTGCGGCTGTCAAAAGTAGATATTGACATTACTTTTTATTCTTACCTTATTCCATACTTATTTCATCTGTTTTGTTCTGTTTGCTGTATTTTTCTGTATATTTGTAATATATTCTGTAATGTGATTTACAGTTTTTGTTAATACTTTTTGACTAAATCCATCTGATTGGTTTATTTTTGTCACGTGATCGCTTTTATATTCTTAGTATAAAAGCTCATGTAATTTTCCCGACCCAACTCCAGCTAGTAACTCCATACGAAGGGTCTTCGCTCGAAACGTCGAAATTCTCCTTATACATTTCAGGTAGTTGCATCCATACCAACAAAAGCTTGTTTATATTATTGGCACTACCTACAATGGCACAGACAGTTGTGACAACTACAAGCCAGTTGTTAACACATATTGTTGACAGGATTGCGTGCATATATATAGAAAACCTATTCATTGAATACTGAACTTGGCAAGGTAACTTGCAAACAATGGCTAACAAGCCCTCACCCCCGCTCCCCTCCCAAATCCTCTCCTGAAAAAGTAGTTTTGGTATGCTTGTATTTTTACATGCACAGTGGACATGTATTTTCTATTATTGATCCTCCTTTTACTATAACTTAACATTACACATACAGCTATTTCAATTAAGGTTGTAATCTATTCTAACTGCCCTCATGCTCCCATTGGCTTACATGCAGGTAGATAGTTTTGGGAAATGCGAGCCCATAAGCCGAGGAGCGAGGGAGTAAACGTTCCTTGGGGAGGGGACGGGTGGGGAAAAGCGCTAAAACAGAATCTGTGACACAATATTGCTGCTTCCTACCTATATATACACACATGTATACACAGCTATGTCTTTCCGACTAACACACACGGGCGTCGCGTTTAACAAACTGACCCTGAACTATTGAGATCCCCTTGTTTTATAGCCAATGTTACGCATGATTGCACTTCGAATAGTCCCCCGAGCAAAACGGAAAAGTCGAATACGAACGCGAAACGCTGCTGGGAATCGCTAATAAATTAATTAATTTCTTAGCGATTCCCAGCAGCCTTTCGCGCTCGTATTCGACTTTTCCGCTTTGCTCGGGGACAAACTTAACTGAAATAGCTGTATACATGTCTAATAATATAAATTCTTATTTATTGAGTTTTTTATGTCACAATTCTGTGAAAATCGTAGATATACCTTGCACCTCATCACTTTGTAAGTTAACTTTGTTGTTATCACCAATGATATATAAATTTAGATTCGTTGGATTTTGGTCAGCCGACATATCTGTATTCATCACAATCCAATTACGGATTCAGGTCTAATAAAAAACAAATGACTTTTTATTTTAATTATTTTCTAAAATAATTTTTATACCCGTCGCGTTTTAGGGGTGGGGTATTTTTGTTTGGAGTTTTGTTGGGCAAACAAGCCCGACGGAAGTGCCGTTATTAATGTTTTATTAAGAATGGATTTTGAACGCGAAATCGAAGCAAAAATCGACGAGAAAATTCGTATAGAATAACTGAGTAGCGAACAATCGGCTCACAAACACATTCTGAGAGGAAGATTGTTACGCTTAGTAAACATCCGACTGATCATGCACCATTTGGACCTACACATACTGTATGTGAGTGTTGTTGCTCCATGTATATCCAGTGGTGTAGTGGGGGGGGGGAGACTCTTTCCTTTCAGTTGAGGGGGGGGGCTCAGCAGTATGATTGTTGCATAAGTATGGACCCCAAATAGAATGTTTTTACAATTACAATTGCAATGCATGACAATGACAATTACAACTAATACTCACAATACTAAAGAAAAATAGGATTGTCTAATTATATTTTTAAAATTTAGAACGGATGTAGCATTTACAGCTTCGACAGGTAGGTTATTCCACAGGACGGTTCCTCTATAAGAAAAACTTTTCTTAAGTAACTCAGTCAAAGGTCTTGGGACAAAAAGCTTTGAATCAGAGTGACGCAAATTGTAGTTGTGTATTACATTAGCTGGTGTGAATTTGCTTGAATGAAGATAGTCGGGCACCATTTTGTTAATTGCTGTATACATTAAGACCCCAAATTGCTGAGACCGTCTTTTCTCAAGGTTATCCCAGTTTAGCGAGTTTAAGATCTGAGCTGAACGAACATTGTCGTCGGACCCTGTAATAATCAATCAATCAATATTTATTAGCATCTGAAAATTTACATATAACTTCTCTTCATTGGATATAACATAATATGAAGGTGCAAGCTAACTGTAATAACCTTGTAGGGTTAGACGAGACAGTTAGCTTGTAATTTATTAAATCGAGTGGTGAGAGAATACTTTTAGGTAATGTAGATATACGAAATTGTCCGCTTATCATCAACCTCTCTCATACAGGTAGCCCTATTTGAGAGAAATTCACACATATATAGAATATTTTGAGAATACGTACATATTAGTATACATATACATAAAACATATTGGTTTTTCGTAAACAAAGCAATTGTGCCAATGTTAAAAGAATACCACAACTTCACTTTAAATATTTCTCCAGTAGATATTTCTTTAGTTTCTTTTTAAAACATGCTGGTTTTAAGTTTCTTTGTTTCATCATCAATTTCATTCCACACTTTCACACCAGAATATCTGATGTTGAATTTTCCGTAATTATAGTTCTAATATGGGGAAGGGAGTACGATGATCTTGAAGCCAGGGCCGTAGCTAGCATGTATAGTTTGTAGGCCAAAAATTTCCGAATGACGAAAAAAATTTCCGAATATTTCATGGCATACGAAGCCACGAAGGTGTTTGCTATCCGGAAAATGAAGATGCAATTTACAAACAAAAATACATATAGTTTACGCAAAGACGTATTACAGAAGCATGCAGTGCCGTGGGAAGCTGTTTTTTATTGGGGGCTGCCAACCCGATTTTAAATTTAGATTCTCTGAAATGCCATTTCTTGGACTTTGGGGAAGTATTGACAGAATTCTGATGGTCAGAAAACAGAGTTTTAGTGTGATATTTGTGATGTTACTCTGAGTATGCATCCACAGCAGGCAAGCTGAAAGTTTGCTTGGCCACGGTGGGAGTCAAACCCGCGACCTTTGGGATACTATTTCAATGCAGCTCTGCCAACTAAGCTACGTGCATGTCAAGTCGGTTCGAGTTGTTAATAGAGTTTTAGTATGTCGAAATTTACAATTTGCTTACAATTTAGTAGAGCGAAGGCGTATTGCAGGAAAGAGTATGGGTAATATGATTCTTTGCGGTTTGTCACGCCCATGGATAATGTAGCCGCTTAAAATTAACTTTCCCCTTATGAGTAAAATTTTGATCTAGACAAGCCTGGAGAAAAATTTCATCACAGCTTGAAAGAGCATCACAAAATTAGTAACATTCCGAAGTTTCGTTGCGAAATGTTGTAAAATGCGGATAATATAGCCTTGCGAAGTTTGCCGTTTTTCACCGAGTCATTTTGGTAATCAGTTTGATCACTCTGATTATCAATTTCCCGTTCGTAATGCAAAATAAATTACTGAAAAACGGCAAATTTCGCAAGGCTATATTATCCGCATTTTACAACATTTCGCAACGAAACTTCGGAATATTACTAATTTTGTGATGCTCTTTCAAGCTGCATGTGATGAAATTTTTGTCCAGACTTGTCTAGATCAAAATTTCACTCAAAGAGGGAAAGGTCTATTGTAGAGGTGTGCAAATCCGATCCGATCGGATTCGTTCGGACTTCGGAACCAAAATATTCATTTCGGATCGGATTGATATAAAGTTGCTTCGTAGTCGGATCGGATCGGACTTCGATATCCGAAATAAAATGAATTAATTATCCAGCATTATCGCAAGAATTAATAATTATCCATGCATTTATCAAAGTATCATCGCGGTTGTCGCTGCATTATTTGTTTGATCAAGTTCAATTGAACGTCACTTTGTAAGCTTCTTGACATGTATTTCTTGCTTTTATATTTATTTGGTTAAATATTTCAACTTGAGTGAGAAATTTATTTTATTTAAGACAATTTCGGATCGGATCGGATTTTAAACATTAGGTAATTGTCGGATTATAAACATCCGATCCGATGCACACCTCTAGTCTATTGTCAGTATTTTAAAGGTATATTATTTAAATGATAAAGGTGTGCATGATTTTGAAAAAAGAATGATTATCAGCAAATTATTGTAAGGGCTGCTGCCTCCAGTCCCCCCTCCCCCCGACTGCTACGGCCCTGAGAAGTAATAAACCGAAAAACATTTACCGATTTACGATTTGTTTTACGTTATCCATGTAAATGCCGTGATTTCGTAAATCAGTTTATACCAATGGTTTATACTGACAATACCATTTTATAATATTTTCTCTGTTTAAACAACTAAAATTTTGTTATACTATTATTGTCGTAATTTTCCGAATGGCCAACCCGATATTGCGAATATGGTAATTCTACAAAAGTTGGGGGTTAACCACCCCCAATACCCCCCCTCGCTACGGCCCTGCTTGAAGCAAGTCTGGTATTATAGTTATGTCTTTGATTATCAGGGAAAAAGAATGTGTTAAATGTTTTTGGCAAACTGTCATTATGAAAATCATACATAAATATTGCGTTATGATAAAAGACAAGATCGTGTAATTTAAGGATCCCAAGTTTAATAAACAGGGGATTTGAGTGTTCATAAAAAGTTGAAAATGTCATTAACCTTTTTTTGTAAAATATATAAAGGATTAATTGAAGAACTGTATGTGTTTCCCCAAGCTACTAGTCCATATATTAAATAAGCATATACTAACGAGTAATACAAGTTTATAAGAATATTACTGCCAACAAAATGCCTAACTCTAGATATAGCCCCGATGTTACGTTTTATTTTTTTCGAGACTTTTGAAATGTGTGCTTTCCAATTCAAATGACAGTCAATCACAACTCCTAAATAAGTGATATAAATTTCTTGTTGAAGTATTTGACCATTTAAAGAAACTTTTACTTGATAATTAACTCTCTTTTGAGCAGGGTGAAATATAATATAGTTGGAATTTTCAACATTCAAGGATAATTTATTTGCACATAACCACTGATAAACAGGTGAAATTTCCTCGGCAAAAAGGTGCAAATCAAGAATTCTGGTAGAATTTTGAATGTCAGTGATGTATAATAAAAATAGAAGAGGTCCTAAAACAGAACCTTGAGGAACACCACAAGAAATATTTAATAGCCCAGATGAAATACTTCCCACTGTAACAAATTGTTTCCTATTGTCTAGGTACGATTTTAACCAATTGTGTGCTATACCCCTAAATCCATAATATTCAATTTCTGCAGAAGGATGCTGTGATTGACTGTATCAAAAGCTTTGGATAAATCTAGAAAAATTCCGCAAGAATAATAGCCATCCTCAAAAAAACTCTCAACAGCTCTTTGTATTTTATCAGTTATTGACAAAATTGCATGCAAAGCAGAATGCTGATGAATTTATTAATCCTTTTGAACATGAGCTTTTCAAATAATTTATTAAACAGTGATAGCAAAGAAATTGGGCGATAGTTGTTAAGACTCATCGTTGAACCTTTTTTATGTATAGGAATAATTCTGGCAATTTTAAAGCTGTCAGGGACGATACCATTTAACAAGGAGCTATTAAAAATAATCTCCAGTGGTTTAGAAATTATGTCTTTCGTTAGTTTTAAAATATTAACAGGTATACTAAAAGGACCAACAGCCTTTGAAGAATTTAGTTTATTAATTTCTAATATAATTTCCTCTGAACTAATTGGGTTTAGAAATATACTATTTAATTGCTGATGTGACATAAAATCCATTGGGGTTGCTTCTACAGAAGGTATAGATGTAGCTAAATTATTTCCTATGTTGGCAAAAAAATTATTAAATGCATTGGCAAATAGATTTACTATCAGTTAGAACATTTTCACCCTCAAGTATTTTTGATGGTGAACTGCTACTACCCCTTGGCTTCGAATTTATGATTTGTTTGATTCCTTTCCATATATTTTTCATATTTGATTTATTGGACATAAAATATTTATTATAATAATCTTTTTTGCTAATTTTAATTAGACGATTTATTTTGTTTCTATACAGTTTAAATTTTTGGTAATAATATACTGTTCTAGATTTAATGTATTTTTTATATAAGTTATTTTTGATCTTCAATGACATTCTAACACCAGATGTTATCCATGGTTTGGATCTGTGTTTAACATCCTTCTACTAAGCTGCTTTAAAGGAATATGCTTATCATTAATCTTCATTAGTTCAGAATTAAATGTATCAAACATTTCATTGACATTATCATCGAGAGATTCTAAGTTCCAGTTTACTGATTGCATTTCTTGGAGAAAATTTTGCTCATTAAAATGAGAAAAATCTCTTTTGAATATTTTAAATCCTTTTGGTAATGTTGAAAATTTGTTTATAATCAAAAAATTTGGGAGGTGATCAGTTAAATCATAAAATATATTGCCACTAATAGTATGATGAGAAATTGAATTAAAAAACACATTATCAATTAGAGTGGCTATATGGGTTATTCTAGTTGGTT